ATCACTATTGATAGAATACTAAATGTACCAAGGACAAAGGACTCACCCATCAATCTGTTGAGCTCCCTAGTCAGTTCTCCCCTGCGCGCATCAACAGGTTGAGGTGGCTTCTTCTCGATCTCTTGAGCAACTTCCTTCCCATGTACATATAACTTAAACTTTGTTGAAAATTTCAAATTCTTGTTGGCCCACTCTGAAAACGTCTTGTTGGTTGAAAAAGCTTGCTCCCAGCCGTCATCAATATTGCAGCTGACTGCAGTGAGGTGATAGTGAATGTGGAATCTTTGACAAACTGTTGCAAACTAAGCAGTTTGTCCAAGTCAACATCAAGGTAGAAATTGTGACGTTCCAAAACAAAGAAACTTATGTCATGATGTGCACTTCGAAATGCTGCCAAAGACTTGCGCTGAAGAGTGGCTGTCGATTCAGTCTTGTCCGGTTTCCCGAGATTTTTATGCACTTTGTCGACATCCACCAATTTGTTGAACAGTGGACGATACTTCTGCTCTTCGGCTTCGGATAACGGATGAATTTTTGGCACTAATACTTGGGATTCTGGATCTTCGTTTCTGGTTGTAATGAACTCCTCGTCATCGTCTTCAAATGGTTCGTCGCTTATCTGAGCGAAATTGGGCAGTCCAGCTAAAGCAAAAAATAACGGATCCTTGAACAACATCGTCTCATCTTCTCCCAATTCTCGCCAAAGCTTGCCCAAGGTCTGATTGCGCTCAACCCATCCATCAGAATTGCCTCGCACAGGTACTGAAATGAGTCTATGTCAGGAGATGCAATGGGAAAAGAAAACATGTGATTATATGACATACCATTAACGGAGAGCGCGGCTGGGCAAAAGGCCAAAAATCGTGCATAACAATTCATCTTACTATTCTTCTTTGGTCCGGCATTCCTGTCGGTAGTTGGAGTTAGTCAGTGAAGAATCCCAGCTTCCAAAAGCCTGAGAAGACAAACTTACACAAGAGACCAAATCATACTCTCACTTACACCACCCATAAGTGCCATCATCAGCATTCGCTTCTCATAGTCGATCCGGATTAGCTCCACAAGTGTTGAGATCTTGTTTGGAATCTGATTTTTGTGCCTTGAATTCTTCTTTTTCTGGTCCATAAGGGCTTGCCTGAGTTCAACAATTTTCCAATTTCCAAGCTGTTCCTCGAAGTTCTCAATTGTCAAAGCAGGAAAGCATGAGATGAATTCTGTCGTATCTTGATGATTTTCGGCGGCGCGACGATCAGAAGAGTTTTCGAGGTTGTTTGAGGAGGTACGAGGGTCTGGAGAGTTTTGCCCATCACCATGAGAATCATCGTCAGCCGCATTGTTTTGATTCTGTTGCTTTGAACTACGATTCTTTTGAGTTTTGCGAGTCTTGTTAGTGTTTGAGGCGGCATTAGGTGAGCCGGCACGTTTGTTGTTCCGCAGATTCATGATGACAGTGATGGTCTTGATAATTCAAAGATAAATTGAAAGGTGAATTTGATGTTGACAAGGCGGATCAGAAGGTGGGTCAAGACGTGGAAGAGAGGTTGTACATATAAGTTGTATAAATTGAAGAGTCATGGTACCGGGGCTTAGCGGGGTGTGGTACCGGTTCATGTTATATATACCATACACGGGAGGTTTGATAAATCAAAGG